CTGTTCAGCTGCTTGCTGCTGCTGAGCACCGTTGTTGGAGTGGCTTATTGGAGAATAACCAAGAAACAATTAACCCCAGAGGATATGCCACCCAGATAACCCAAAAAAGTCAGTGTCAATGGGCTAGACTGTCTAACTTATTTTCCATTGGGGTCCTAAACTGTCTCCCAGGATGCAAACCCACACAAGTCGACTAACACCCAGGTGAATAGGGAAAATGCCCTGGAACTAGTGCTCATATGGGTGAATTTAAAGCCAGCAAGGTTGGTTGAGAGATTTAAGAATCGTAGTGGCATACACAGTGTGATTAAGGCCCTTTCTGGAAGAAATTTGCCAAACAGTACTCTACAGTACTCAGGATAAAAGGCACGCCAGAACACAGAGTCTCAACATCATTGCTTTCATCGTCAAGAAAGGTAAGTGTCATTTATTCCTCATTTATAGACTAGTACATGCACAATATATAATTGTGCATGTACTACTCACAATTGTGCATGTATCCTTCTCTTTGGTGTGTGGGAAAATGTATATTTCATGTGGTAAAATTTTTTTTTTCAAACTTTTGGGTGTTCTTGCACTGATTAATTTTATTTTCCATAATTTCTTATGTGGAAAATTCATTCACCATAACGATTATTTCGCATAACAATTAACCCCTCTTGCACGGATTTAAAATCGTTAACCGGGGGTCCCACGGTGTATATGTATATATATATATTATATATATATATATATATATATTATATATAAAATAAATATATATATAGTATATATAATAAAATATTATAAATTTTTTTTTTTTTTTTCCAACAAACCAGCCATATCCTACCAAGGCAGGGTGGCTCAAAAAGAAAACCGAAAGTTTCTCCTTTAAAGTTTATTAATATATGCAGAAGGGGTATATATGTACATAAAATCACCAATTTCCTATAAGTCACTTTTGACTTTTGGGTTACCCTAGGCAATTTACATGTAGTACTATGCAAGACCTGTGTTTAGAATTAGCCACCGAAATGACTAGTTTATTGTGCATCACATATCTATCCTGTGGACGGTAGTGCAAGACCATGTGGATATGTAAATTGCCTAGGAACTAGGCCCCAAAAGAGTTAACAGGTGTACATTTGGATTTACATCTACAGTTCACTTATCTATTACCAGAAAATTTAGGAAATTTGCTTAGTATATCTGGTATCTTATTTTCATTAATAAGGCATCTTGACATGTCACATTGGTTATTGTACTATCTCTACATTCCTCAGTAAGTGGACAGTTAAGCACATAGTGTTCAAGACAATGGCCATTTGCCTGACCACATCATTTGCATTTGGTTTCATTATCATCTGCCAGTGCACCAACAGGGAATACAGTCACAGAAACCCAAGGCAAAAGGAAACCAAGCCTGTGCACATACTATGCACTTGGTATCTGCAGACATGGGAAATCTGGAAAAACAGACGGGACGTGCAACTATGACCACCCTAGAAAATGCCATGCCCATATGACAACAGGAAAATGCAAACTCCCTTCCTGTAAGCTTTTTCACCCTGAAATGTGTACCTCTTCAGTACAGGAAAGACTGTGCTATAACTTAAATTGCCAGGCACACCATCTAAAGGGGACAAAAAGATACAAAACATCCAGGCCATGGGAAAACCTGGGTAGCCACAGCCACTCAAGAGGGAGAGGTTTTTTAGTGCCAGGAAGGAAAAAAACTGGCAGGAAATGGCAGAAATCGTACACCAAATCGTCATTCCTGGAGTGGAACCACAGTCGATGGCCTCCACTCCAAACCAACAGATACTAATACCGGAAAAAAAATCCCCCCCCAGTACCAACAATACCACCAGTCGGATGACATTCTTCTTTGCAAATATACAGGGTCTAAAGCCAGCAACAAACAACACACTACCTTTCATCCGTGGACTGCTTGCAGAGGCAAAGGCAATGTTCACGGCTTTCACTGAGACCCACATAAAGGATCACTTGGACAACGAAATATGGATCCCAGGTTACAACCTATACAGATGTGACAGAGTGAACAGGCAAAAGTGGGGGGGTTGGCCTGTACATTGCAGAGTCACTTGTTTGCACAGAACTCCTTAATGCCTCAAATGATGTAGTGGAAGTTTTAGCAGTAAAGGTTGAGAACCAAAACCTAGTCATTGTGGTAGTCTACAAGCCTCCGGATGCAACATCCCAGCAATTCCAGGAACAGCTGTTAAAAATTGACCACTGTCTGGAAAATCTTTCTACTCCTGCACCCAACATCTTGCTCCTGGGGGATTTCAACTTAAGGCACCTAAAATGGAGGAATATAGCAAATAATATTGTTGCAGTAATAACACCAGGAGGCAGCTCTGATGAAAACTCACTCACATGAGCTTTTAAATCTCTGCACAAAATTCAATTTAAACCAGCAAATAATAGAGCCTACTAGACTGGAGAATACACTAGACCTCGTCTTCACTAACAATGATGATCTGATAAGAAATGTCACCATATCAAAAAAATATACTCGGATCATAACATAATTGAGGTTCAGACATGTATGCGTGGAGCCCCAGACCGACATAATGAGACTAGTCACGAGGGAGCATTCACCAAATTCAACTTCAATAACAAAAACATAAAGTGGGACCAAGTAAACCAAGTCCTAACCGATATAAGCTGGGAAGATATACTAAGCAACACAGACCCCAACTTATGCCTAGAACAGATTAACTTGGTGGCACTGGATGTATGCACAAGGCTTATTCCTCTAAGAAAAAGGAGGAGTAGATGTAAAATAGAAAGAGACAGGCGCTCCCTTTACAGGCGACTGAAAAGAATAACAGAGCGGCTAAAAGAGGTCAATATATCTGAAATGCCTAGGGAGACACTGGTCAGAGAAATAGCAAGCATCAAACTTAAGCTAAAGGAATCTTATAGGAGTCAGGAATCGCGGGAAGAACTAAAAGCCATAAATGAAATCAAAAGAAACCCTAAGTATTTCTTCTCCTATGCCAAATCAAAGTCAAGAACAACGTCCAGTATTGGGCCCCTACTTAAACAAGATGGGTCCTACACAGATGACAGCAAGGAAATGAGTGAGCTACTCAAGTCCCAATATGACTCAGTTTTTAGCAAGCCGCTAACCAGACTGAGAGTCGAAGATCAAAATGAATTTTTTATGAGAGAGCCACAAAATTTGGTTAACACAAGCCTATCCGATGTTATCCTGACGCCAAATGACTTCGAACAGGCGATAAATGACATGCCCATGCACTCTTCCCCTAGGGCCAGACTCATGGAACTCCGTGTTCATCAAGAACTACAAGAAGCCCCTATAGCGAGCCTTTTCCATCCTATGGAGAGGGAGCATGGACACGGGGGTCGTCCCACAGTTACTAAAAATAACAGACGTAGCCCCACTCCACAAAGGGGGCAGTAAAGCAACAGCAAAGAACTACAGACCGATAGCACTAACATCCCATATCATAAAAATCTTTGAAAGGGTCCTAAGAAGCAAGATCACCACCCATCTAGAAACCCATCAGTTACACAACCCAGGGCAACATGGGTTTAGAACAGGTCGCTCCTGTCTGTCTCAACTATTGGATCACTACGACAAGGTCCTAAATGCACTAGAAGACAAAAAGAATGCGGATGTAATATATATACAGCAAAAGCCTTCGACAAATGTGACCATGGCGTAATAGCGCACAAAATGCGTGCTAAAGGAATAACAGGAAAAGTCGGTCGATGGATCTATAATTTCCTCACTAACAGAACACAGAGAGTAGTCAACAGAGTAAAGTCCGAGGCAGCTACGGTGAAAAGCTCTGTTCCACAAGGCACAGTACTCGCTCCCATCTTGTTCCTCATCCTCATATCCGACATACACAAGGATGTCAGCCTCAGCACCGTGTCTTCCTTTGCAGATGACACCCGAATCTGCATGACAGTGTCTTCCATTGCAGACACTGCAAGGCTCCAGGCGGACATCAACCAAATCTTTCAGTGGGCTGCAGAAAACAATATGAAGTTCAACGATGAGAAATTTCAATTACTCAGATATGGTAAACACGAGGAAATTAAATCCTCATCAGAGTACAAAACAAATTCTGGACACAAAATAGAGCGAAACACCAACATCAAAGACCAGGGAGTGATCATGTCGGAGGATCTCACCTTCAAGGACCATAACATTGTATCAATCGCATCTGGTAGAAAAATGACAGGATGGATAATGAGAACCTTCAAAACTAGGGAGGCCATACCCATGATGACACTCTTCAGGTCACTTGTTCTATCTAGGCTGGAATATTGCTGCACACTAACAGCACCTTTCAAGGCAGGTGAAATTGCTGACCCTAGAAAATGTACAGAGAACCTTCATGGCGCGCATAACGGAGATAAAACGCCTCAATTACTGGGAGCGCTTGAGGTTCCTAAAACTGTATTCCCTGGAACGCAGACGGGAGAGATACATGATTATATACACCTGGAAAGTCCTAGAGGGACTAGTACCGAACTTGCACATGAAAATCACTCGCTATGAAAGTAGAAGACTTGGCAGACGATGCAACATCCCCCCAATGAAAAGCAGGGGTGTCACTAGCACGTTAAGAGACCATACAATAAGTGTCAGGGGCCCGAGACTGTTCAACTGCCTCCCAGCATACATAAGGGGGATTACCAACAGACCCCTGGCAGTCTTCAAGCTGGCACTGGACAAGCACCTAAAGTCGGTTCCTGACCAGCCGGGCTGTGGCTCGTACGTTGGTTTGCATGCAGCCAGCAGCAACAGCCTGGTTGATCAGGCTCTGATCCACCAGGAGGCCTGGTCACAGACTGGGCCGCAGGGGCGTTGACCCTTGGAACTCTCTCCAGGTAAACTCCAGGTAATCACCCAAAACTTCTATTAAAGTTATTGTACCTAAACTAACAGTAACTATCCCCACCCACCACCACCACAACCCAATACACCTCATTAATGACTACATCTATTCCTGCAGGTGGAACTTCACAGATTTCTTTCACTCGTTCATGATGATTTTCCGAATCCTGTGTGGAGAGTGGGTGGAACCGCTGTGGGACTGTATGAGAGCTGAGGAGAAAGATGTAAGTATATTACTCAGTCTTGAGCAAGAGCTAATCCCTCTCCCCCCCTATAGTTTACAAACCCATTGGAAATAAGTCACTTGGATTTTTGGGTGGTTATCCTTGGTAATTTAAATATATATTATGATGTAAAACAATTGTCACCATTCAAAGATTAATTCTGTACTTGCACCTGAATAAAGTTAGGGGCCAAACAGCACCTGGCATAAGGGAGGTAATCAGGTATGTTCCAAGAAAGAGGTCAGCTCAATTTGCACAGTATAATAAATTAGTGGTTTTGTATAAGCTCTTACTTGAGTTGAGACAAGTTTTGCTGTAGTAGTGGTAGTCGTAATAGTAAGTTCAGGGGTGGAGAAATAGGTGTATTAAGAGCATTGAATCTAGCAGTGGTAGTCATAGCAGCAGTGGGGGCTTAAGTTAGGTTACCCGCCTAGCTTAACAACTTGTTCATAAATGTAGCTTTGCAATACTATCTTGTCATTAATCCAGTTATTGTGAAAAGCTTAGTAGCTAAATTGTCTCCTCGGTCTGTTGAAAGAAGACCTGAGAGTTTGGGGACAGGGTCCAAGAGTCGAAGCCTCCCACTCCACGATCTCCAAAAAATAGAAATCTGTTTTGGTGTGTGGCTCCATTGGTAGTGGCCTCAGCTTTCACACTGAGGGACTGGGGTTCAATCCCTGGCACAAGTGGAAATGTTGAGTATGTTTCCATACACCTGTTGCCCCTATGCACTCAGCAGTAAGTAGGTACTTCAAATTATTTTTTTTCTTTTTATGCAGTACAACAATAATGTGGTTTACATAAAACATTGTTTAGTGCAAAAGAAAGCCACTTGGGTTTAGTTTAGCTTAATACCTTAATTATACACCCAGCCAACTGTTGTTGGGTGACATATTGAGGGTCTGATAACACTGGTCAACAATTTTTGAAAAATTGTATACCTGGATTAGTTAATTCTTATGTATTTTCATGTCCTGAATCCAAATATCTTGAAAAATGCTTATTGGCTCTAGGTTTAAAGATAGGATACATGTAATATTTGATTATAACATGGCTTTATTGGTTATCCTGGGTTACTAGCCCTCTTGGTTAATACTCTGACCAAAATCTTCGTCTCCAGGGGTCAGAGACGTGCCTAGCCATCTTCCTACCTGCTCTGGTGATGGGTAACTTTATGGTGCTCAATCTCTTCCTTGCTCTCCTGCTCAATTCGTTCAACTCCGAGGAACTCAAGTCTCGCCAGGATGATCTTGAGGACGAGTCCAGGGTGCTTCAACTATTCGTCAGAATAAGGGTAAGTCAGATATCACCTCCACACCTACTTTGGTTTGCATGCAGGTTGCTCAAATGTTTCTTCGTTCATATTTATGTAAAGCATTTCGCCATTATTTCGCTGCTGGCGTTAGGCTAGGTCTTTCCTGGAAATTCACTACTCTTTATACTGTATTTTTGTTATGCCTTGCAGGAAACTCTTGTATGTAACACACTAGTAATTTTTTGACCCCCCCCCCAAAAAAAAAAAAAAAAAAATCGTGGCTCACATGGAAATCAGATCATTTTGAGAATTCAAGCCTTATTTTCTCTTTTAAAATACAAGCATGCTGTGTATACTGGAAACAGATTATTTCATGGGCAAAGTATTGTGGGGTGTGTAGCATGTCAGGGACCATTTGAAGTGCTTTGGCTTGTACTTCTTGGAATGCAGGTAAGTTTATTCAGGTTAACACAAATGCAGTTACATAGATTATCATACATAGCAGCATATGTGCAGGCAAGAGAGATGATTTGTAATTTACACCTAGAAAATCCTAGAGACTGGTCCCAAATTGGCGCACACAAATCACTCCCTATGAAAGCATAAGAGACTGTCAGAGATGCAACATCCTCGAAATGGAAAGCAACGGTGCCATGAATGCGCTAAGATCTAACACAAAAAGTGTCAGGGAGCCCAAGACTGTTGAATTGCTTCCCATCATACTTATAGGGGATTACCAATAGATCCTTGGCTGTCTTCAAGGGAGAACTGAACAGAAACCTAGTCAATATCTGACTAGCTGGGCTGTCGTTTGCACATTGGATGGCATGTGGCCAGCAATAACAACTTGGATGATCAGGCCCTGATCCACTGTGAGGCTTGGTCATGGAGCGGGCCATGGGGGCGCTGACCCACGAAACACGGGTGACCCCATGGCCTGGCTGGCAAAGCTCTCACTTCACACATGGTTTGATTCCCGGTGGGGTGGAAACATTTCTACATGTTTCCTTACCTGTTGTCCTGTTCACCTAGCAGCAAATAGGTACCTGGGTGTTAGCTGACTGGTGTGGGTTGCATCTTGGGGGACAAGATTGAGGACCCCAATGGAAATAAGACAGTCCTCGATGACGCACTTATTTTCTTGGGTTATCCTGGGTGGCTATCATTCTCTAGGTAAGTAGGTGGGGTCAGGGCCAATCGATGCTTAGTATTAACCCTCTTACTCAGTCAAATCAAACATTAACGAAGACAAATCAAATATAAATGAAGGCACACCTGTCCCATATCTATCACTGGTGGAGTAAGGTTACCTTAGGTTATATTCAGTTGGGGTAAGTTTGGTTTGGTTAAGTTAGGGTACATTTCTTACATTTGCACAACATAAAACAATGTCCATGACAAAACCAACACAACATTGGATATTGTTTTACTAATACGTATATTGTCCCCAAACTCAAACAAGAACCAGATTTCAATGATTGCCAGAATTGTTTCCAGAGTTTTGGATGAAGAAGGCTCACACATACATAATAGAATAGGTGTCACTAAATAAAAGCTTCTTGTTCCCTCACCTGCTATTTCATTACTCTTTAACAAATCACTAGAAACCAGCACTTTCCCGGCACTACTCAAGATAGCCAGGGTCACACCAGTACACAGCTAGTGACCCCACAAATGTAAACAACTACAAGCCAATTTCAAACTTAGCATTGCTATCCAAAATCTTAGACACTTATACACAATAGATTATATTCCTTGCAAACAAACCATACCACTTGGTATGGTTTTATTTGCAATCATGTCATTATGATTTCATGAGTCATGTTGACGGCTTTGAGGGGACTTAGGCTAGAGTTCATCATGGCCATGCTAGTGGGAGATTTGTCTATAAAAACTTGCATTTGTATTCACAGTGGTGCCTATGCTAACCTTCCTATGGTGTAGAAATATACCTAGTTTGATGAATCTTATTGAAGCTAGGAGGCCCAGTGGTTAATGCGATGGTCTGGAGTTTTGAGACTCTGACCATGGGCTCAAACCCCACCTGTGGTATGGTTTGTTTCCTTCTACATTGTTTGGGAACAGAATGGGTGCTGCCCAGCTGAACGTAACGATTGACGACACTCCTATTGCTAGACATAATGAGTGCAAATTCCTGGGCCTGCATCTTGACAGCAACCTGAAATTCAACATCCATATCCAACAAATATCAAAAAAGTATCCAAAACAGTTAGGATCCTCTCCATGATATGTTACTATGTACCACAATCAGCCCTGCTCACACTATACTATTCACTAATCTATCCCTACCTCACCTATGCTATTTATGCATGGGGATCAACAGCAGCAACTTAACTAAAGCCGATAATAACCCAACAGAAAGCCACAGTGAGAATTATCACGCAGTCCAGTGCAAGACAGCACACACTCCCCAATCTTCAAAGAACTAAGCCTACTCACCATACAGAACATTCACACCTACTATTGTGCAATCTGCATTTACAGAACCATAAATTCTAATTTTAACCCGGAACTAAAACAATTTCTCGATAGTTAAAACAGGACCCATAGACACGACCCCAGACACAAAAAAAACTGACATTCCCCGTGTCTGGCTGAACCTATACAAAAATTCGATGTTCATAAAAGGGCCTAGAATCTGGAACTCCCTGCCTGAAAACTCTAGAACCACAGACTTGACGACCATTTTCAAAACTACCGTTAAAAAAAATCTCGTCTCCATAACACACCCCATCTTCAGCTAACCAAATGAAAACCACCCAATTCTCTTTTGCATCATGAACACATCCAAAACAATGTAGACTTATCGTTATCTGTAATTCCCCCATAATTTCCACCTACATCCACCCAAAGGACTGTAAACATCCAATTCCTAATATAGCTATTGCCTATTAAATCTTATGTTAGTCTTATTAAATCTTAAGTTAATCCTAAGTTTGTCTAAGATACTCCTCCAGTATGGATTTAATAGAAACAATGTATCATGCCAAGACAAGTCGAATTCCAATTCTAAATCGGCCATTTGTACTAACATTAAATGATTTGACTACCTAACTATTTTAAGCCTAATTATGTATGTACCTAACTGAGAATGTTTCTAATTAAGTACCTTATAATATGTTCAAATGTACTGCTTAAATATGACCTATATCAAAATAGCGTAAGAATTAGTATTAGTCTGCTCGAAGTGCCTAGGCACGATAGTGGCTATCTTTGTAATTTAAATCTTATAACATGTGAACCACACATTGTAAGTTTTACAAGGAAATAAATATTTTGTGTGTCTTTCAGTATTTTCGGCAGATGCAGTGGGGGGTGGGGGGCTGCTGATACCTTTGAGGCTATTGCCCTTACCTGGTGAGCAGTGACAGCCTGGTTGATCAGGCTCTGATCCACTGCAAGGCTTGGTCGTGATCAGGCCGTGGGGGCGTTGACCCCCGGAACACCCTTCAGGTATACTCCTGCCCCTGTTCACCTAATAGTAATTAATTGTAGACAGGTGGTTCAGAGAATCAACAAGTTGGCAAATTAGACACGTGTAACACTTGGGTATCTTCAATGAAGAAACGTTTCGCCACACAGTACCACCTACGACTGCTGCACCTCACCTGCCTACAGTATACTACAAGCTTCTTCTTTGCACCTGTGCTTTATTATTTTCAAGATTGATGGACTGATTACATCGACTCAAGGCTGAGGGACTGATTACCTCAAACTCCTCCTGTTCTTCACAATTCTTTTTTGTATGGGCTGATGAAGCTACTGTGTGGCAAAATGTTTCCTCATTAAAGATACCCAAGTGTTGCACATGTCTAATTTATCTTCAGTTCAGAACATTTATTAAAGGAAGCGTTTCACTGCGAGTGGCTTCATCATTCCTAATGGACTAAGACAAGATTATGATTAGTTGTGATTTTTTACCTGGAGGGTTAGCTACCTTGGATAAGAGAAGTAAGATAGGATTTTTGTTTGGATTTTTAACCCCGGAGAGTGAGCCACTCGGCATAACCCAAGAAAGACTGTAATGTCATCTTGGACTATCAATCAAATCAAATCAAAGTTTATTTTCTATAAGGATTACAATGCAGGGTTTACAGATTTTGGTTATTGTGTGGTTTACATGTAATAAAATACTAATTACAGAGGGGGCCACTAGAACACCTAGCAAGGCTAGGCATTTCAGGCAAACTTGAATAAATTCTTAACCCTAAATTATTACAAATTGTGGAGTAAGTTGACTAAATACTAAGTGACTAAATACTAGTTTGTGAGTTTAGCAATGTGAATGCTTTTGTTTTGGCACAATACATAGTTTCTATATTGGAGTATCACAGGCAAACTTGTGACTAGTTAGGAATAATTTTCTGTCTTATTTCCACAGGAGTCCTATAATCTTGTTTCCTAGGATGCAACCCACAAGTCTAGTAACACTCAGTGGCATTGCTAGGCTTGGTGTCACCCAGGGCAGCATCTTTGGTGTCACCCCGATGAAATTCAAGGGCAGGGGGGTGGGGGAGCAAACTCCAATAACGTCACGACTGAATGCCCAATGACTAATGTTTAGCAATGAGAACATTTAAGGGCCATAAACCAAACAGGAGAATACTTGTTGAAAAAACTTGGCCTTGCCTTTGAACTCTTTATTAATTGCAAGTTTTCATATCTTGACTGGGAATGTGTGTTCAGACTATCAAATTAAATCATTTGCTCTGGCACGAACCCTATCCCTAAGCTAAATAAAATCCCTCATTGATACAATACAATACAATTTTTTTTTCTTTGCAAGTTTACATTGAGATTCTGTAGTTACAGTAATGAGTTGCAGTAAGAAGAGAGCCACTGTCATGCCACAGCATTATGGGCAGACTAAATTAATGGCTTACAGACTACCTAATACTAAATAAATTGATCATAGTTTAAGTTGTACATCTGTTTTTATTTAAAGCAGGCAGTAAGTTAACTCATGTTACAATCTGGGGATATTACATAGCCATAATATAATAATATAATGGAAAAGT